CCAGCCACTGGGCTTTACTGGGGAGACTGGAAAAAGGACTGCTGTGTTCTGTAAATAAAGATCCCAGGATTGGGAGAGTTGGGGTTGTTCTTTAAAGAGCCCTGGCTGTTTTCTTGGAAAGAACCGAGATCTTGTGATGGAAATGTTAAGGTTTTCTTTCCAGGAGATCGATGGCTTCGCCTGTAGCCTGCAAGTTCCGTGTTCTCGCCAGCCACCGGGCCCGTTTCTAAATACCCATTTAAATATACTGTATATTCTAAATGCATGGAGAACAGTAGCAAACAGGGCTGTTCACATGAACCAGTCTTGCTTAATGATTTTTTTTTTTTTTGGACGACGCTCAAATTCACACCCTCTTGAACAGGACTTCCTGGTTAAAATAATCTGGGTTCATAACATGGGGTGGGAAGGAATAGATTTCTTGGCTGGGATCCTGGAGAGCCACTCAAAATGAGATTTTGACATCTCGGTCCTTGAATATGCCAAGTTCATCCTGTTTTGAAAGCAAAGGATAGCCAGATTTGGTCAGATCCTGGCCATTCAAGGGGTGTGTGTGTGTCTAACAGGCCTTTCTCTTTTTGAATAACTGCGTGCTCACAGCAGCATAGGGATTTGTGAGCATCGCGTTTGACCAAACGCCGATGCATTTTCTTTGTCTGTATACTCAGGCTCTTTATCACATTTGGCAGCGCTTAAAAATCTACAAATAGTGAGATAAAAGTCTGCAGAACTTGAGATTTGACAAGCGGCACAATGAACATGATCAAAAATGTGTATGGAGTGAAAGACCTTTTTGGGGGGGTAGATTTAAAAGGGAAGGGGCAACTCCCCACCCCCCAAAAGATGAACAAAGGTATTAAAGGAAGTGCTATATGGTTCTCGGTATCACCACCTTTACCTCAACAAATGAGCTAGATATGTCAGGATGAGGGTTCTTGTATTTCCTTCATTTTGGGGTGAACAGCTTGTTGAGAGCATCGTCAGTGGGCCTGCCCAGATATCTTAGCAAAGAAATGCAAAGGGGAAAAAAATTGTTACCCTTGATCGGGGTTGGGGGTTCTAGAAAAGCCGGGGGTTCTGCTTTCCCTTTCCCTTTATAATCGACCACTTTCTTCTACCAGCTAACATAAAATAATTTTTGCATCTCTTGAATTCTGAACTCTAGAAGTGTTGTCTTCAAACCGAATGATTCCTAGAAATGCTGGACCGTGTCTACTTGACTTAATGATCCATAGGGTCCCTTTCCAGCGCTGCAATTCTAAGATGATGGTGATACGAGAAAGTCCTGCTAATTTAAGAGAGCAGAGCTAGTTCCAAGGATGGTACCTATTTATCTACTCACATTTACGTGCTTTTGAATGGCTAGGTTGGCAGGAGCCGGGACAAGCGATGGGAGCTCACCCCGGTGCGGATTCAAAGTGCTGACCTTCTGGACAAGCGACGGGAGCTCACCCCGTTGTGCGGATTCAAACTGCCGACCTTCTGATCGGCAGCCCAGTGGCTCAGCGGTTTAACCTGCAGCGCCACCCACGTCCCCTGGTTTCAGTAAAAGTACGGAAATGCAGGTGTGGTGGAAGGGCCATGAGAGGGCAAAACCTGGGACTGAGAGGCAGCGTTCATATCTGTCCTTCTGTGTCTAGTCATGCCATTTCAGGGCCTTGCAGGTTTTGCTTCCGGAATGATCTCCTTTGAACCTTGGATTCTTATACAGAGGAAAAATGTAGGAAGACAGAGCTGTCTTGAGATGTGATCCTGACACATCTGGATGAGAGGCACTTTGGCGGATTTTATCTCCCGCAGGAAACTTTTTCTCTGACATTTGGTTCCACCGTACAACTCAGGAACGTAAGGTGTTTTGGTTTGTCTTGTCCTGTAGCGTCCAATCGGGGTGGGGAGGTGGGGGCACCGAGTTTGCATTATCGTTGTACGAATTTTTGTCATTTGAATAAACATCTCAAAACCTTGGCAAAGCTCAGAGGGGTTTGCAGGCTGCTTTAAGAAAACAGCTCCGTAGAGTCCAGAGAAAGGTAGACTATCTAAAAAAGGAAGGAAGGAAAAGATGTTCATGCGGGCAACTAGTCCAGCAAACAGCAGGCAGATGCATCTGCTCATTAGCTCCATACTAACTAGCCATGCAGGTTCAGGTAATTGTGTGTGGCAAAGGTGGGCTTCAGGAAAACATGGGGGCTTTCTTCCGCTTGGAAGAGTAAAGATTGGGCATATAAAGTTTTTCTCCTGCTACTGCTGTTCTTTCTTGTGAGCCCTTCCACACAGGTATCACTTGACAGAACTTAAGACCAGATTTTTTTTAAGGAGGGAAAATCTA